ATAATTATATTAATAAAAATAAATAGATATCACTGGTTGAAAATTGATAAAACATACACATATCGGGTACCCGATATGTGTAGAAAATATTTTTTTACACTTATCGGATATCCGATATATATATAAAATATTTTCTACATATATTGGGTACCTGATATATGCCCGATATTAGGGAAACACCATGCACATATCGGGTATTCGATATGTGTATGTTTTATCAATTTTCAACCAGTGTATTGGGTATATTATATATATATTATATAAAATTGTATAAAATTTGTGCAGTAATAAAAAAAGCTATTAATTTGTATGATTATTTGAAAAAAGTATTCAAATACAATATGACTATTACACTTATCGGGTACTTGACAGATGTAATAAATAAAAGTATTGGAGAACCTAATAGATGTAATAAAAAAAGCTATTAATTTGTATGATTTATTTGGAAAAAGCATTCGAATACAATATAACTATTACACTTATCGGGTACTTGACAGATGTAATAAATAAAAATATTGGAGAACCTGATAGATGTAATAAAAAAATATCAGAAACCTATCAGAGAGAAGAATAAATCACTAATAGGTTCCTGATATTGAATAAAAAAATTGGGTACCTGTTTGATATAAAAAAAATAACTGAAAAATAGGTGTCCGATATATATAGTATATGTGACCGATAAGTTTCTGATAAGTATTCAATATTAGAGAATAAGATGACACTTATCGGGTACTCGATATATGTCAAAAAATATATATCGGGTACCTATCAAGTATCATGATAAGTGCCTGATAGGTATCCGATATGTCAGATTTTGACCAGTGCAAGTATATACTTGTAATATTTATTGAAATATTTTAGGAATATTGAAAAATATTATACAATTTGATAATATTTCAATAAAAATATTGATAAACACTAGTTAAATACAAAAGAATCACTATACTAAATGATGATTCCTATACTATAGATCAGTTAAAAATTGATAAAAATCAATTATCCTATTGTATTCTATATTGTAAATTAGCTAAAATCAAAATTCCTTTAATATAGTATATCTTTATATTTAACTTGTAGAATTTGTGAAATTTAATACAATTTAATATTATTTTGACAAATAATTATAATAGAATATTTTATACAAATTTGAATCATTAAATAATAAATTTCTTGTAATTTTGATATATTTGTTTCTAATTGTTATCAGAATTTTGTTTAAATTTATTTATATTTATTTTTGATTATTTGCTGAAAGATGATTTCAAATTGAGATAAATGGTTATTATTTATCACACAAATAAAAATATATTTTGAAAAAAAAAAATAATCACCTTTTAGTTATCTTTTAGCTAAAAACCTGCTATTTAAAATTGAGCTGAAATAAATATTTTGATCAGTAAATTACTTTATATATAAGAATGAATCTAATTGTTATAACATGTTACATATCTTATTTATAATAACTACTTAGTATAGCTAATAAAAATGTGTGTAACTTAAATTCTAAATATAAATAGTATTGGTTAACTACAAGTTGTTACAAATATATTTTTCTATATATAATTATTATTTATTATAATTATTATTTTTGATTTCAAATTTTTATATCATATATTAATTTTATATATAATTATTATTATTACTAATTATAAGTTCTATAAGAAATTTTTTTATATATAATCACATTTCATGTATTGAATTAAAGAAAAAATAAACAAATTTGGATGTTCTAGAAATTATATGTAAAAATATAATTTTTAGCCAATCAAAATTCAATTGATCGGTGATCCGAATTATTTCACGTGTTGTCTCTGCAGGGTGATGAATGTTAGGTGACGAATATGTTTTTTACACTAAGCCCCATTCCATGTGCTACAAAATAAAATTAGAAAAGTTTTATTTTACTCAATGAGACCCAATTCTCGAAGGTAACTATATATGGGTCCTTGGAATCATTCAATAAGCCGCAGAAATATTGTATAATCAGTATTAAGAAATTATTTTATTCTATAAAGATCTAAGAAATTATTTTATTCTATAAAGATCTAAGAAATTATTTTATTCTATAAAGATCTAATAACATTTATTTTTTGTAAATTTCAAAAAACGTGTTTAAAGTAGAATATATACAATGTAAAATGAAAATTATGTTATCGAATACGAGACAATGCCTTTAATACATGATTGGTTTCTATTTCGTTATTTTCGTTTTTTCCTGATTGTCGGCTACGCAAGACCGCTAAAAGATTAGTCAGCAATTCTTCGCAATATATCTGAGTAGCAATATTGAACTGGGATGCGTTATACAGATGGTGATATAATTGATCAATCTAAAATTAAAGACAAATGAAAAATCGTAAAATGGTAATATTATCAAATGCAAAATAATAAGATCTTTTTTTTTTTAAACACCTGGATCTCAAGAGGCTGCATAAATTCTTCCAGAACTTTGTCTTCCATTGGAACATTATTGTTTTCAGTGCAATATTTTAATAGAAATTTTTTTTGTTCTTCAGGTAAAACGGATATGTCTACTTCGTCGGGAAAAATACAGGTTTTTTCTTCAACTGATGTTTCAATTTGAGAAGTACGCAATGAACTATATTTCGTGATCAAATTTGTCCAGGCTTCATTCTCTGCATTTAAACTAGTGAAACAACACTTTAAGTTATTTGGTTATTTTCGAGACATTTTTTTTATCAAATAATTTTATAAGCATACATTCTTATTTTGGCTTCATATTCTTCTAACCTTCGTTGATTTTCGACATTAAGTGGATGAACTTTTTTTTGTTGTCGGGTTTTTTCTGCCGAATCTTGGTCATCCTGTACATAAATAATAAGATGTTATATTTAAAATAATAAAAATAAATATTTAGAATATTGAAATATTACAGACTTTTCGGTGGTACCAAGATGTATTAATCTTACAGTCCATTAAATCATTTAAAATCCCTTGCTCTATGATCTTTGCTATTAAATTTTAGATAAGATCAAGAAGAAAGTTAAGATAAAAATCTAAGATAAATCAATATGTTACTCCTTTATTACCAATTTTCAGTGCATTTACATCTTTTGTTTTTGAATCATTCATTGCTCGTTTTCCGCACCAAGTCAAAAGTTGTCTAAGTTTTTTTGGACCTGGCAAATCAGGTTGTATATGACGAAAAAATTCATTGGATTTTACATCCGGATGCGGATTTGCTAATATTATGTAAAAATTTATTAAAAATTTTGTATTTAATTTTAAATAATAATTTATAAACAAAATTTGAATTACCCGCAAATCCGTTGCCAATGGAAGAAGCCCTTTTGCCTCTTTTTTCAAAACTCGATCGCCGTCTTTTTTGACGAATATCTTTATTTTTCTGTATCATTGGCGTTTCTTTTAATGGTATATGAATTATGGATTCCTGCAGTTGTTTAGAACTACTTTGCAGCACAGGCTTCTTTGGGGTTTCTAAAGGATGTTGAACTGACCGAAATTTCCCCACAGTTGTAGGCGAATTTTTATTGGCTATATTAACATTTCTTTTACGTGTAAAGATAAAACCGTGATCATCTTCTTCATTTGGAGCAAGAACTATAAATAAACAAACTTTTATAAATTTATTCTACAAGCCGGATTTTAGTAAAAGAATGAAGTATACTTTTTTTCTTCTGTTGATTGTCTTTATCACGACGAGGCTACGAGCAAAAAGATAAGAATAATTGATATTATATTTTTACAAATAAAAATAGAATTAGAAAATAATATTTAAACCTGCGTAAGTTGCATGTTTCGCTTTGAAAATTTCCCCCCTTCATTAGGGCAGTCAGATTTCACTCTTTTTTTGTGGCCTGCAAGCGACATTGGAATAAAAACGCGGAAAATCGGGTGAAGTAATATTTTAGATCAGAATATTTCAATTTCACGTGATTTTATAAGAATCCCACCAATCCGGACACTATTTTTTAGAGTGTCCTTATCCTAGACTCTGGTTCACGGTGAAAAACCTTGGGGTCAGACAAATTATTCTAGACCCCCGCCGTTTTTAGTAATAATAGTAATAACTAAAATTTCCAAAATTAGTAAATCAATGAAAGTAAATAAAATAATTTTATATTAATCGGAAGTGAATTTTTTTTGTAAATAAACTCAAATTTTTTTTGTGAAATGCAAATTTTATTGGTTTATGTAAATTAAATCATTTTTTATATTTAAAATCCTTATCTCAAAAAACAACTTTAAAATATAATTTCATCATGTTTGAATATTGTTATTATCAACTATTTCATACCTTTACTACTAGATTTTTCACATTCTAATAAATTACATTTTTTATTCCAACTATATTACATACATGAACAGTTGAAGACCATTAATTCCATTCTATATCAAAATAAAATGTAACAATGATGATAATGATTAGGAGGAGAATTTTTTACATGATACTTGTTAGAAAGTTGTCAATTAATTAATTTACCTGGTAAGGAATGTTATAAATTTTTTTTTTGTTTAATCCATTCATCCATTTATACATCAATTCATTAATTTATACATCAATTCATCCACCTATTCATCATTTATCTATCTGCTCATTCATTTGTTTGTTCATCTGTCCTTCCATCGATTCATCTATTTATATCCACCTATCTATTGATCTATCCATTTGCTAGATATCAAAACAAAAACGTAACAATAATGATGATAATTAGAGGGGAGAGAAATTTTTTTACACGATATTCGTGGTTAACAATTAATTAATTTACCTGGTAAGAAATTTTAACAACAAATTATTTTTTGTTTAATCCATCATCTACCCATCCATCATTTCATTTGTTTATTTGTTCATCTGTCCTTCCATCAATCTATCTATTCATATCTATCCATTTATTGATGCTATATATCAAAATAAAAATGTAACAGCGATGATAATGATTAGGAGGAGAATTTTTTTTACACGATACAATTAATTAATTTACCTGATAAGTCGAACAATTTTTTGTAAATTTAATTAGATAAAATAATTTTTATAATATTAACTTGATATATTATATTATAATATTTATTATTTTTTTGGATGCGCAAATATTACTTTACAAATTTTGATATTTTGCTAATCATTATCTTCATCATCATGAACATATAAGCCAAACTCTACACTATCAATCATTATTTCTTTAGCAGTATCTAAAGAAATATTTTTAAAACCCTCTGCAATAAGTCTAATACTAGTTTCAGGAACAAGTACTTGAGTTATATATTGAGATGTTGTTTGTGGTCTACAAAGATTTGTAGTCAATTACCAGTTTGTAAAAACATTTCAGTTAAAGTTCTTAACATAATTTCTAAACCCTTAGAACCATAATATCCAGGCTAAAAAAATGTTATTATTAGTATATTTTAATATTTAAATATATGTTTTATGTTGAATATAATTTAATTAAAATTAAACTTACTTGAAAAGATTCAAAATAAGACATTTGCACTAATGGATCGTTTACTTTTGTTACATCAATTTCTTTAATTCTTTTTATAGCATCCACACAATAATCACTATACTTTTGATCTTTTATGATTCTTAACAACTCAAATTTCATAATTATAATTCTGTTTGGCAAATTAATAAAATCTATATGTAAAGGATATCCCTTTTTCATTCCATAAGGTATAATCTCTCCTTCACCTTTATGAATTCTACAAAACTCATACTGTTCAACTACAGTATTAGTAGATACTATTAATTTAAAAATCAATTAATTTTTTTAAACAATAATAATATTAATATAATGATAATAATATAATACAGTAACAATAAACTATACTTTTTCCTGTATTAATATCATCTAAATATCTTGATACTTTCAAAGGAAGTGGATTTGATAATATTTTATCACAATATGGACATTTCTTTTCCATTTGATTTTCTATTGAATTAATTAATATATAAATTAAGATTTTAAAATAAATAAATATTTTTTAAGATCTCAAAAAATCGTTTAGAACAATTAATAAATATTAATTTTGATATCTCAGCAAATAAAAGATTTTTACAAAAAAAAAATATACTTGCTTAAATTTAATTCATTAAAAGAAAAATAATCATGAGTAGATGTTGTTTCCAAATATTGATGCTGTGGCTTTGTATTAATATTTCGAAATTCATGTAATGATTGTTGTGTATTATATATAAATTCATGATTAAAATTTTGAATCTCGTGTAATGGTTGTTGATTATTGTATATAGATTCAGGATTAATAAAATTATTATTAAAATTATATATCACTGATATATTATTTTCTATATTTTCATCAGTAATATTGGTCTCAATCTTATTATTATCTATTAAACCTTTGTTGATTTTTTTTTTTTGCTAACTAGTCATCAGGAAATTTTTGAGGACAAATATATTCAAATATATTTGAACTGAATATATCTGGATATATTTGACCATCCACACATTTATCCATATTAAATATTTGAATTTATCTGAATAAATATATAAATATATTTGCATATATTTATTTATTTGAATTTATTTGAATACATTTTTCAAATATATTTGTATATATTTGTGTATTCGAATTTATCCAGATACATTTTTCAAATATATTTACATATGTTTGTGTATTTGAATTTATCTGAATATATTTTTCAAATATATTCATATATATTCATGTATTCGAATTTATCCAAATACATTTTTTGAATATATTTGTATATATTTGTGTATTCGAATTTATCCAGATACATTTTTTGAATATATTCATATATATCCATGTGATTCAAATTTATTTGAATATATTTTTCAAATATATTTGCATATATTCATTTGAATTTATCTAGATACATTTTTTGAATATATTCAAATTTATGTATACAACTTTAGATAACATATATTATATAAATACAATACATATATCTATTCGAATTTATCTAGATATATTTTTTGAATATATTCAAATTTATGTATACAACTTTAGATAACATATATTATATAAATACAATTTTATATATATATGTATATATTTTATATTTAAATTTAAAATTTATTATTTATTTACTTTATTAAATATTTACAAAAAGTTTTAAAATATTACAAAAAATAATTTTTATTTTTTATATAAATATAATTATATTTTATATTACTTTTGAATAATAAATACAATATTTCTGTATTTTATTTAATAAATTAAAGATTATTTTTAAAATATTATATAAGTGTGCAAAATATTCAAGAGTATAAGTATAATGAAAAATATTACTTATGTTCTTATCTGT